AGACTGGAATAAGAACACGTTGACATGTACACAACCTCCTGAAAAACCATTGTAAGGATTTAAAACACTCAGACCTCAATGTCAAATCTGCAGGGAAGGTTGATATTTCCTCAGAAAGGCACAGCAGGGTACTCTCCTTGTCCTGTTTTGATATATCGTACTTGCCCTCAGGGTTTGTTATGTTTTAAAATGAAGTATGCTTACTTTTTAATCACAGATGAGCACTGAAAGCTTTTCATAGTTCCTCTTAATTTAATCACCATAGAAAAATTAACTTATATTGTGGTGCCTAGTTCTAGTCAGTGTAACTGTTCACATTCTGAAGATACACCAACTGAATTATCCACATTTTTGAATCATCACAAAAATATGAAATCTCTCAGTACTATGAAGATACTATTCCAATGAAAGAGCCATGGTACACTGTTTCAACAATGCAGTTATGTTGCAAAAATATGCTATAGCCATCAATATTAAGAACTAATCCATTTCATACAAGATCACTGTTCATCTACTTTTTTTTTTTTTAAATTAAACAATAGCCATAAACATGCCAATAATCCAGTAAAATAAAGAACAAACAGCAGCATCTGAAAAATATTACGTTCTTACCAGTCTGTGCTCAATTTTCTTGCCTTCAGCAACTGGCTTTCAATCCAGTTGGGTCGTTGCTGTTCAATGCTTTGTATAACCTTCTGGGTCACTTGCTTGGGACCACTTTTCTGTTTTCCCATAATGCTTTCTAAGCACACACGAACTAAACTGAGTTTTTCTTTGCTCCATCTGTCAAGTGTTGCACCTGTTAAAAGTTCTGCAGTATTTCCATCCTCAAATATCCGACATATAATTACAATCAAGTTCCAGACAAGCAGACCAGCTTTCTTCAATTCAGCAAAGTTTCTTGACATTTTTCTCTCAGCCAGAAAAAAGAAGTACTTAATTGGGGGAGGCAAACATGCAATCACTGTAGGTAACTTGCTGATTACAATAGATACTGCCTGAGCTGCAAGCCTCGTGAAGCCTTAAAAAAAGAAAGAAAAGAAGATATGATTAACATTAGCATTCTGGTTCTATCACAGCATGCTTCTGAATGTTGTATGATAATTTCTAACTTTCTTTTGTACCGAAAATGGGTAAAACCTTAAGTACTCAACACTGTAGCTTGACTTCTATTGTGCTTCCTCCAGATAAATACCACAAAATCTAAACAATAACATGAATTAAAAACAGAGAACCCAGAAAATTTAGAATTCAGAGTGCGACTCTCTTAACAATTAGTCCTGCTGTGCATGGTTATTGCAGAATAAATGAAAAAGACAACACCCAAGTGTTCTGAATGGTAAAAAAGTTGTCATCAAAATTGCAGTGTAGTATTTTTTCAACTTCATGAGTGGAGCATTGCATTAAGTGTCTCAGGATATTACATACATTCATAATCTTTAGTCTTATATCAATCCCTTTCTGTGTTCAAACCTACAAAACTTTAGTTTATCAACTTTGATATCAGCATGCACACTATATAGCACTGCATTTTAAACATTCCATATACTGAAAGTAACTATAGACGTAACTACAGAAAATATGCTGCTCAAAAACCAAGATGTATCTAAAATGAAAAAATATACCAAGAGGTGATCCACAATATGAGTCAACATTTAAAAAACCACCAAAACAAAGCCCAAACAAACCAAGAGAACCCCTGACTCTTTGCACCTGTAATCTCAACTTGTTTAAAAAAAAAAAGCCAGATCTGTTCCAGGTGTCACATAACCAATTTAATTTGTCACTAAGTCTGAGCCTTACTTCTCAGCTTGTGTTATCAGTTCAGGCTTAGTAATAGTCTAAAATAGCTATACAACGTTCTAGGTTAAAGTGAGATTGCAGAGAGAGTGAAGTGAGCACACTGCTGCATAAATGTGTCTCAAGATGCTGAAGAGAAGGTACATGGAAAGAAAGAGTCGATTGATGCCCTGGCTTGCCCACAGTCTACATATTCAAAGCTTCATGCCAGAAAATACTACAGTGACACTGCTCTATTGAAAATAATCAGGTAATATTTTGGTGGCAATAAATTAATGGTGAAATGTTTTCAGAAGTTAACCTTTTGGAAAGATGGAGGCTTTAGGCACTGTAGGCTATGAAAGTGTATACCAGAAATCATCTTTACATCCAATCACCTTCCAAACATCTCCTATTACATATACTTTTCCTCTTTCTTCAGTAACTGTTTCAGCAACCAAGCCGCAGCAAATTCCATACCAGTTCCAGCGCTACCCAGACATAAATTGCTGATGTAAAGTTGGGCTGAATAATTTGTTATCATTTCAGACAACAAAATTTTCTTTTTAAATTTAAACAGTCCTGATTGGAAAGATGATAACTAAGAGAAGAACAGGTTACAGCCATTAAGACAAGAGCATAGACACTATGCTTTACTCTGCCTTGAATCCGACCTTACTACTGCCAGACGCTAAAAACATTTTCAGTACTATTATTACCCGTACTACATACTGATTATTTTTAAAAGATTGTTTCTGTATGCATGGGTGCCAGTCCCAAAAAAGAGGTACTAAATTTTAATGCTAAGTATTTTTAAAAAAAACACAAAAAAGTGCTTTAAAAAAACCACAAAAATTATTTTGTTCATTGTCAAACTGCAATGCTCATGAATCATAACTGCTCAATTTTGATATGCGCTCATTAAAGGGGTAACAAGCTTTTATGACGAATTCATAAAACAGTATAAATTTCACCCACATTTCCCAGATTCTTTTCTCTTCATTTCCCGAGGAGTGTAATTCCATTCCTTTGGGACCGTTTTCAGTAAACTTTCAGGAACTATTTGCTTGTGTTGGTAGGTTCCATAGTTTTCTGTTGCCTCCCACGAATGCATCAAAGAAATGATCTGCTTCACTATACCCTTGACTGAATTAATCAGAGTCAACTTCAAACATCTGATAACCTCTGGCTCCGACTCACCACAACTGGAAACTTCAGAAGGAAAAATTATTAAATATTCAGTAAGTGTAGTCATTTGTGTAAATCTGTTTCAGAAAGAAGTGTTTCAGAATTCTTATGGAAAGAAAAGTAAAAACAATATGATTCATAGTAGCTTAAACATATTGGTCTGTTACAAATTAAAGAAAGAACATAAAGCAAAACAATATAGCATCTTGTATCATTTTAATACAGTACTGATAAAAAATACAATTTAATTTACTTCCTTCATCCTCATTTCTCCATCAATATATTTCTAAAAATTTAATTTGACTGATGTCTTCTTTTTTATATGGAACACATTTAATTTCTTGTTAGACATCAATGAAGCAGATGGATATACCTATTTTTTTCTACTTCTTTGTCTTGATAGCATTAATGAAGTTGTGTTTATTAGATACCCAAACTGGTATACTAGAGAACAGCAAAGGAAAAAAAGATATTTTGGCAACAAAAATGCATACATATAATAGTAATCAACAAAGACATAGCATGTTAACAGAAATTGCCTGTTGAAAATACACCATCCTAAATACAGCTATTGACATTACAACAAGTATCAATCTTCTCTACATTCTTAATACTGGAGAGAACTGCAGTTTCTCCATTACCCTGGAGCAGCAGTTGCCAGGCAGAGTGCTGGCAGGACCCATCAGAGATGGCGTTTGGCATGTTAGGTCCTCTGTCCATACTTTTGCTTGTCTGTACTTTTTGCTGATCTAAGTTTTGTTCTTCTCTGCATGGCGTTTCTGGAGGCTTCCATGCGCTATTTCTATATTTTTCTTCCTGTTGCACATTAGGCTTCCGCTTTTTGCAATCCCATTTTTCTCTGAGGAACACCTCAGCACTTTTACCACCACTGTTCTCTATTTTGTGATATTCGTAATTCTATTTCCCCTTTTAAATCCTCCCATTTTCTTCCTTTCTTTTCTTGAGCTTTCTTGCAGGACCACCCTTCTAAACTTCACCTCTCTTTTCTGGTTGAATACTGTTTTTCCATGGGGCAGCATTAGATGCTCTAATTGTGAGGGCAGCTCTCCCTCTCCATGGAAAATTAGGATCCTGTCTGACTGTTGGCAGCTGAATCTATCTGCCCAGCAAACTATGTCTCCCTCAATGGGAGACGGTCCTTTTCTTTTTCGACTCTCCTTTAATCGTTTCTTACTTTTAAATCGTGGCAGAGGTCTGGAGTTATTAAATGCACAGAGGCAAAGAACCTGTATTGGTAGAGAGCTCCAGCATCTGCTGCCAGCCTGCTGGTAAGACAGACATGGAAATCAGAATCCTGGTTGACCACACCGCCCCGTAACCTCTGCTTCCTTCAAAATTTTCACCAGTGACCTGATTTCTCAAAACACTTCAATTAAACTATATGTTTGCAGTAAGCTACTACCATTTCATTCGATTTACTAAAGTAAAAAAAAATATGCACCACATGTCTGAAAACTGACAAGGTTTAACATCAGATTTTAAACGGCTATTTATAAATTAAATACCTGTCATATTGTATAAGCAATTCCACAACTGCTCCTTTTCCATGTAGGTCTCAAAAGCAATGCCAAGAGATTTGGGTGACAAAGTGCAGTAAGACAGTACTGTGAAGATTGTTTCAATCAGAGTAGGCTGTTTGTTATTTATCTGTTCTAAGGGAGAACGTTGTTCATCACGATTCAATACTTCATTTCCTTCAAAATTAACAAAAACATGGTTACAATAATTTCCAAGTAATTCAAGTTCACAGCAACAGATACTATTAATCAAAACAAACTACAAACTGTATCTGAATAATATTTCAAACAATAATAATACTTACAGATACTGAAATCTGATCTTCCTCTGCATAATGACATTTGACTGTCTCCACGAATTATATGTAGCCATTAAAAAAAGACTCAAGCATGTTTACAAAGTATGGAATATGCCTATTTAATTCAAAATGCACTCAGTATGTAATTGGAATTTGATTATTTACTGAATATTAATCAGAAGGAAATTGTACTACTTCTGTAGAATCACAGTCAAAAAGTTACTACTACTTAACTCCTCTTACCAATGTAGTAGTTATGTGAAATAACATAACTCTAGTTAGTTATACAAAATAAAATAAAGTAGTAGCTGCATACTCCCCCAAATGGGTTGCCTTTGTTTTTCAGTATAAGATGAAATTGAGAAGGAATCAGTTCTGCAAAAGAGAATCTCAGCCTGGCTAAGACACAGACACCTATGTTTTTAAAGACAATTAGTGATTTTCATTGAGTTGAGTGTTAATGGCTTATATAACATGCATTTCTAAATGTTTTTCATAATTGTTATAAAACATTCTCCCAGCCAAAAGGTAATGTGTTCAAAGCTCTGTGAACCAATGAAACTCAATGGCTTTGACTCGTGCTAATGTCAAAGACCTCAGCTTCCCACATATTTGTAGAATAGGCTTTTGATGTTAACCATCACAACAAATGACCAGAGCCAGAACATATTAAATGCTTTTAATTTAAATTTCTGGTTTGCAAAACTGAACGCTTCTGTAAAACTGTTTAGGTAAAACTATACTTGAAAATGTCATTGTCTTATGCCAGTTTGGCTGCCCTTATCTTTAGCAACCTGTGCAGGAGAAAGATGGGAGAGACTAAATTTCTAGGCTGCATTTTCCTAGTGGTTCAGACAGCCTTCAAAATCTCCCACAGTGGAAAATTTCTGCTCTTCACCAGCTCTGAATGTCTTGAGAATGTTGTAAAATTCAAAAATCTCATTTTACTCTGCTCCGAATTGCTACAATCTACTTCACACATTATGGTAAACCATTCAGTCTGGGTAGTGTGCAACCTTAACAGAAAAAACCCATAGGATGGAGAAAGCTGAAAAACAAGACCAGTGATTTCAGAACCAACGATCTGTGGGTTTTTTTTCCCCAAGGCAAGAGGCAGTTCAGCAATAAGAATTTTTTTTTACTCAGCTTTTTTTTTCATATGAGTTGAGTGAGCTGGCATATTTTGCTGAGACACCTTCCAGTGCCAGATGCTTCTGACTGAAGAATCAAATGGATTCCACTAATTCACTCAAATCAGCAATATGCTGTCTAATATGGATATGATAAAGAAAGAATTAAGAAAGCAGAAAAAGCCGTTCAAAAAGAAAAACCCAGGGCTATTCAAATTGTAAGATGAAAATTTGAATTGAACTTTGATTATATTACTTTTTTTAAAAAAAAATTAATTTAACCAAATTCTAGGCAGGAGGGTTTTCTGAGATTTTAAATACTATGTAAACTGTCTTTGTTTAAAGGGGCTTATGACTTGAAATTTAGCCTAAATTTGCTTTATAATCATGCTACATGTAAAGTTTAAGTCACAACATATTAATTATTGTCTAATCAACTTAGTGTCACCAATAAATTTAGATAAATGGAAAGAAGTATCAAACGATTCTGTAGGGGGTTATACATATATCTTCTTATAACTAGTGTATAATACAAGCCTTGTGCTTTTAAGCAGAGATCTTCAGGAATCCACTGGGAAACCATTCTGAGGCTAAACATAAAAAAATATGTAAGCTTTTGCCAGCTTTTTTTTGCTTTACCCTGAGGTAAATGTTGCCCTTGTGGTAAGAATATCTGACCCTTCAAAGCTCAGGTTGAAATGAGTCTTTGAAATGACTGATAAACTGGCATGGGTCATAGAATCATAGAATAGTTTGGGCTGGAAGGGACGTTAAAGGATAATGTCAGTTGGTTGAAAGGTTTAGCTAGTTGATCAGTATAGCTGGTTAAATATTATGAATTAGGAGTCTCCAGGAAGATATGCAGATTTCTCCTGCCTTAGAATTTTTCTTTAACATTTATTAGCTCACCTGTCATAACATTAAATATTCATCTTAGTTTGAACTCCAGTGCAGCCTTCTTGTTAATCATCACATAAGAACAGTATTTATATGATAGGCATCATACTTATTGCCCACTGATGCTTCCCTCTATATATTTATCTTTTTTCCACTCCACCGTTTGTATATCAAAAGCTCATCTGTGAAGGGAATCTAAAGCTCCTATAGGTAGCTCAAAGGAAAAGCTTCTTTTTCATTTTAGCAGGACTTACATCCATACATAAATATGGCTATATACTTATCTTAGGTACCTGCTAGAGAAAATTTGCTATTTGTTATTTCCATATAGCATAATGCTCCATATGCAGAGAGGATGCCTAAATATATACAAAATGTTAATATTATTAATAAATATCTTAATAGAAAATTATGTATCTAGTGGGTAACAGCTATGCCCTAGCCAGTCACAATGAATCATTCTTCCTAAGACAAAATAATGCACTTAAACTCTTGGGATAGTGCCATGCTTTTTAAAAACATATCTTCAGAGAGGCAGACTTACAAGTGCAATTTATCCATATTTCTTTCTTACTGATAGAAATACCCCCCAGTAACTTGCTGACATTATCACACTCATCCAGCTCTTATCTGCTACTGGTTTAGCCATGAAATGAATCTTACTGAATTTAGAAAATCTTCTGCTATTGACTCTAGACTTCTCCTTCCCTAGTGAATCCTTACAAGCCAGGCAAGCTATAAACAGTTGTGCCGTCTTTTTGACCAAAAGAGGTAGTCAAAATTCAAATTTATATAACATGCTGTTTCATTTAGGAAGAGAAACTGAAGAGGGAGCAAGTTATTTCTGATATAGTTCTTTTATTTGCAAAGAGCATAAAACTTCTGCTTGCTTTATAGTTTGAATCACAGCAGCTGATGAGGATATAAAGAATGCAAAAAGGATATATTTTATTTGTTTATAGAACCAAATCTTCCAGCAGGCACACCACATTACTTGCTTCTTTGTACTATATTCTCAGTGCTTCTTCTGTCACTGGCTTTTTTTCTATTCTTTTTCTGTATCTGTTCTGGTAGATCATTCTACTTGTCTCTCATTAGAGTTGCTCCTCTCTGATGCAATCATTCTCCAGTCAGTCTTGACAGCTAGAATCTATTGTAACTTTGAATATGACTTCATTTTGGCAGAAAGTCTATTATTTCAGTTTTTAATTCCAAAAAGAAATTTTAGATCATATTACTTCTCTCCTGAATGAAATGTAGATCTTAGCCCTACCAATTTCAATTTAGTAAAACCCAAACAATAATATCCCCTGTATTAGCTGCTACGTATAAATCCAGTGAATCCTAAATTTGTGACAACTAAAAAGCTCAACATAAGATAAAAAGACTTTAACAAACTTTATGTCATCTGCCCATAAATTATTAACATATCAGCAAAACACTCCTGTGCCTATATATTTATATGTCACCAATCCCACACTATTTTACTCTCATTCAAGTCCCTTCAGAATTTTTTCTCCCTAAATATTTTATTTTCAACTATCTGAGGAGAAGCACCCATTAATGAATTGCTGGGTTAATGGCTTCTGTGAAATCTATCTTACCCATGTCAAATAGAAAAAATCAGCACTGTCAGAATACCTCCAGCACTGATTTTATGGGATAATATGCTGAAATTGTGGCATTCTGATAGCCAAAATTTGCAATATTGAATTTAGTCCTATGGCTGTATTACCTCCTTTGTATTGGGATTGATACCGAACAGGTTACCCTCTTAAATTGTATTCAGTCTAGAGCTCTGCTGTATCAAGAAGTTCCTACCGGAAATGACTAGGTCTTTGAAAAGCTATCCATATGACCATATATCACAGTCACAGAGACTGTCACAGATACAGTGCAGAGCTATCTTCACACTTTGCCAACAGGAGGTATGTGATCCTCAGCAGGGCTCTATTACAGTCCCAATGGAAATTCCTATTCAATATTTCAGAAACTCCATAAAATCTGTTTACTGTTTTTTTTTAGCTTATCACTGGAAAGTCATCAAAAGGAATCGGATATTTGATTAAGGTCCTTTTGCTATCAATCGTCCAGCTAGAAGTACATTACGCCTGTAAACCCTTCCACCGTTTCACCACATTGGAGATGCAGGTAAAGCATCCAATAAGTTTACTGGTCAGATGGATATTTTGAGGAGATGCCACTTTTAAAATAATTTCGTAATTTATTGCTTGGCTACCACGATACAGTTTACTGTCATGAAGAAGGTAAGAAAACTTCCAGGCATTCTGGAGTCTGTACTCACAAGCCTCAACCCGGATGATCCAAATACCTGGAGGAGAGAGCTACCTCTGCACAAGCATATGAATTCCCCTAAGAGCCTTACTTGTGCTCTCCTAATGAGGACAGTCTTCCAGATTAACCCCCAAGTTTTGCAATAAAACCTGCAAGACTATATTTCCCCAAAAGTGTGTATGCTTGAATCATGGAACTAGCACAGTTGCTAGATTTTCCAGTCACCTGGTAGACTGTGTCTCAGGATTATTAAATCCAAGGAGTTATTACAAGGAAGTACAAAAATAATGACCTTCAAGTACTTGAAATAGAAGCTTTAAATTGTTATACAGATTTAGCCAATGCCAGGACTTTAATGGAGATGGTAATTTGTTTAAGGAGCGTACATTTTCTTTTGTAACAACTCACTACTCTCACTAAAAGTTCAGTCTGATTCCTAAGTGAGGTCAGTTGGTAAAGTTACCACCTTCCACTGTTCTTTTAGGGCAATTTACAAAAAAACAGTGCTATTTACCTTTACATGCCTAAAATGTAATGGATTTAATTTAATTAAAATTTTATTAGCGCTTGAAATTTACCTTAAAATACCACGTTATGCATTGTGGCAGTTAAAGGGCTGCTTCACAAGGGGCAAAGAATTGGAGTGGGGGGAAAAAAATCTTTCCATTCTACAAATATATTTTCAAGTCATTTCTTTTGCCAGAAATCGGTTTATAAAAGCACAATCTTAAGAAAACTCTTCATATGTATTAGTGTCTAGGGAGTTGGCTGATACTGCACCACACAGTTTTATTTTCTCAGTGGAAATCCTCCCTTGCCCTCCCTGCTTAAGCTTCCAAGGTAGATTATCTCTTTCTGAAGGAACTCACGTTTCTTTGGGTCCAGTTTCAGATTTGCACCCTTAAATTTATCACAGAATATCTGCAAATGTTACTACCAGTTCTTATTTTGAAGTTTTAGTGAGGACCAGAACATCATCCAGGCTTAATTGTACCAGCTACACAGTACCCTCTGCCATTAGTCTCTCAAATATGCCTTGTACCATCCAAAACCATAAGGTGAAACTGCCAATGGCCTTGTCCTGCTGTGAAAGCAGTTTTCTCCCCGTTTATCACCACGTGCCAGTGTTCACTTTGAAGTTGAGTATAGAAAATGAAATGAAATCTCTGCAACTGCAGTCTCATGTATTCATTGTAATGAATAAGATTTTTTAAAAAATGAATGCATCACTTTTTCTATTGTACATCATTAACTTTTGCTACCATCTCTTCTTAAACAAAAGTACGTATGAGGCCCAAGGACTGATTGAAGGCCTTGGATATGCCTTGTTGATGATTTCTCAGTAACCTCTTTCTTATCTGCTATTGGTAAATGGCAAGGTGTCTCTTGACTGATGAGGTTCCCCTTAGTGTTAATCCTGTGTTGGGCCAGTGTAATTCAATAAACCTATTGCTTTTTGCTTTATTATGCAAAGAATAACTCATGGTTCCTAGAAATAAAGACTCTCAAATGGGAAGTCACAGACTGGCATGCTGTGCATTTAGAGCAAGTCTAGCAGGAATTCTCAGAGTTCACTTCTACCCTCCCTGTTTTCGTATCAGCATCTGCTGGATTCAATAACTCCTATTATGCAAGCACCACTTTCTTTATTCCTCTGTTATTTGTTGCTTGTCAAAATAATCCATTTCTGTTTCATATCCATAGGTGATAAAGCAATTCTGGTAAAAAAAAATCCACCAAGAAAATTGCAAAACAGTTTGTCAGAAAGTTAACACAGTACCAGCTTCATTATTTCTCTCCACAAAGGTCCTAGACCCTTCACCCACTCAAGAACATATCTGAGAAGAAATTTTCTGAATGTTGGACATATAGAAAACAACTCTGGGAATATATCACACCATAATTAACTTTAATTCAATACACCTAGGTTATTTAGACCGGTAGGTTAAGTTATAGAGGTCCAATATGGAAATCCAATTTTTTAACTATTTTTTCAAAGGTGCCTTTTACTCAGTGGCCATACTCACTGGAGACAAATGAAGTGGTGCAGTGTTGGGTATCCTGATTTATTGCCTTTAGTATTTTTGATGTGATAATTTCATATTTGAGGAGCATTTTACTTTTTATGTACATTTCACATATCATATTGCACAAAATATGACAAAAGTCCAAATCTTCCCACATCCCTGTCCAGATAGCTTATGGTTACATACAGGAAGTTTCAATAGCTTCAACAAACACGATAGCCTTCTTAAAATATTTAGCAAAACTACATCATGCATGTGAGAATACTTGCAGTAGAAAGAATACTCCTACTGAGACAACTTTGCCAATCCCAACAGTACTCTGTAGTATGGCGGGGAATATACATTATTTCTGACCCTCACCATACGGCACAACCGTATGAGAATAATGGGAGTGTAACTAAATTAAATGTGTTTGTTTGATGCCTACTGTAAGTGTCCCAAAGTATTGCTACAATACAAAAAAAATTTAACATTACTTAAAAACTTCTACATATAAGCACCTCTTCGTACAGAATTTTTGCCTTCTGGCCTGTTTTTTAAAGGGAAAAGGAAAGACAGAATGTAAAATAAAGTAGGATGTGAGAAGGCCAGGCTGGGAGAGTTGGGGGTGTTCAGCCTGGAGAAGAGAAGGCTGCGGGCAGAGCTGAGTGCGGCCGGTCAGGGCTTCAAGGGGGCCCAGAGGAAAGGGGGGGACAAGCTTTTTAG